CTAAGATATTTGTCGGCTGGATGCCTTGGGCTGACTGAACTGGATTTGCATCCAGAGTACAAAGAATTATTATAATTAATAAAATCGGCAACATTGTATCTCAGGTTACCCTAGAGAAGTCGTCGGAGTCCAGCTCTCACGATGTTTAGGCTAGAGCCCGGCGAATCTCTTATTGGAAGCGATTTCCGTTACTTCGCTGACGATGAATTTTATTCATCACCAGCGAAGCAATTGTAATTTTTAAGATAAAATTAATTGAAATATTTTTAAATTTTGCGAGAACGTTACACTATCAAATCTAATAGACTTAGCTTCTTGAGGATGCCTTTTCAAAATTTCTACGATCGTCTATTCCAGCGATAACATGCAGGCTATATTCACCACCACCCCAGGTATAGACTCTTAACACTCACAATGGTCTGCAACTGTATACCTCATACAGCAAATCTGTGTATCAACATAGTGATCCAACTATGTACGCCTCAAGCCCCCACCACATTGTCAACCACATATCACACATGTAGTGCAGCTTACAACTTCATCTCTGGCCACCGCCACCTCATCAGCTGCCCATCGCGCCCTGACAATCTTGAAAACAAAATTGATTCAAACTACCCAGAGTTTGCAGTTACGACTACAGACTGGCGCAGGTAGTGCAGCCAACTTATTCATCTCTGGCCCCCGCCACTTAACCAACTGACCCGTCGCACCCTAGCTAAATCACTCTAGATTTGGTTGTACGACCTACAGCTTGAAGCAAGTGGTGCGACCTCAAGAGAAAAATCTTTTCTTATCGCTACCACATCATCTACTGCCCATCATACTCTGGCCAAACCATCCTTGATTTGCTATTATGATCTACAGCCTGATGCAAGTGATGCGACTTCTTTTCTTATCCCGGGAAAAAATGATCAGACCTGACCATGTCTGTTCATGTATGATCATGATCAGACCTGAAATTAGACCTGTTCATGTATTATCAGCTCTGAAATTAGACATGATCATGCCTGTCCATGCCTGAAGCGTCAAACACGCTCAGGCCTGATAAGGCCTGTTCATGTCTGAAGGGTTAAATTCGCTCAGGTCTGATCAGGCCTGTTCATGTCTGAAGCGTGAAATACGCTCAGGTCTGTTCATGTTTGAAGCATTAAATATGCTCAGGCCTGTTCATGCCTGTCCATGCTTAGAAAAGTTAATTAAATGGACACTGTTATGCATTAATGTGTTAAGTGCTATGGAAATCCTATGTACTTAATACACTATTGCATAACAGAGTCCAAATTTCCCTACGTTAGGTTTTTAATGATAATCAAAATACACTTATTTATTGAATAATAAAATATACCGTTTGTTGATAATTTACAAATTTATCAATCGAAATTAATGTACATACACTGAACGTATTCAAATATTTTTTCTTAGCATATGTGGTCCTTAGCATCAACAGGTATGATCAGGCCTGAGCGTATTTAACACTTCAGACATGAACAGGCATGACCATATCTAATTTCAGGCCTGATCATACATGAACAGACATGAGCAGGTCTAATTTCAGGCCTGATCATACATGGACGGGCATGGTCAGGTCTGATCATTTTTTTCCGGGTAGATCTGATCAGACTTGCATAGTCAGAGATGTGATAAAAATTTTTTTTTTGACGAAAAAAATTTTTTTCGTCATCACAAAATGTGCCAAATTATTTTTATTATTATATTAAAATAATTTTGAAATAAAAAATTTGTTACATTTCCTATGGGATGTTTTAGTCTGCTCTGCCCTGCCTAATATTAAAATCATTACTTATTTTATTATTTAAATAAATGTGATGTTATGATGAGATTCGGTTAAATAAATAAATTAGGACTATCAAAATATATTATAAAATCATTTTTTATATTATATTTATGATAAATTTATTTAAAACATTATGTACTTCATAGAATTGGTGTCACATAAGATAGCAGCACAGCAGGCGGGAACTTCAAGGCGCACGGATATTACCAAACAGCATTGAGCGTGGTTAGTAGTTGGATGGGTGACTACTGGTGTTATAGCCGTGTAATTATATGTAATCATTTTTTTTTCAATTTTAATTCATTATAGAGAATTGCATATGAGTCTATCACGTACTATATCCATAAAATTAAGCAAAATAATTTATTAAAAGTAACAATGGGCTTTCAGATCTGACCATTTCTGATCAAGCCTGATCAGGTCCATTCATGCCTGATCAGGCATGGTCATTTTTCATGTCTGATCAAGCCTGAAGACTCATGCCTGTTCATGTCTGATCATTTTTTCCCGGGTATATCAAGATGTATACGCGGAGCACTAGTCGGATCAATTACATACAGTAATTCATGAGCTCTTAATTCCGATGTAAAAAGATCATAAAAATGTTCTAATTTTGTATTTGGTGTAAGTTTATAAACTCGTTTCATACCCCATCTTTACTAATAATTTCTACTTTTAATGTTTCTTTAATTTTATGTGCCAAACTGTCAAAATTTTGAGATTCGCTAACATTTCTATCTACTTTTAATTTTTTAAATTCTTGTTGTAGTAATTTAGAGACTTGACTTTTTAATTCACCAAGTTTACAACTAGAAGTACCACCGCTCGATCTGCTCTTATCTCTATCAACTAATTTTTGATAATGCTCATGCATTTTACTGCATTCATTATTCACATCTCTTATTTGTTTACGGATCTCATTGTTTTTGTCTTCAAGGGTTTTTGTTTATTTAACAAAAACATCTTTTTGTTTATTGAACTCGTTGATAATCAAACCTTGAATTTTTTCTATTTTAGCAACAGCTGTCTGAGCACCTAACAGAAATTCCTGGCATTGCTTCATCATATTGGTAGAGGATTCGCAAAATTGCCTCACTAGTGACAACACTTTGTAACCGGAAGGTTTTAGTTTAAATTACAACGTCATACTCGGACTTGTGAACCAGTGCACTCGATGGCCGGCAAGGCAAAATGTATACGTGAACAAGTTATCTGGCCGCGCTGTGTTGCTTCGGCAAACTCTGTTTTAGCACGAGAGCTATAGTTTGGGACTGAGTGGAGGTGGTTAGAGAGCACTTTGGCAAGAGAATTAGTGAGCTCGCTCTCTTCCGTCGTCGGCAGTCGAACGAGTCGGTTGACTCGAGGACCTCGCTGCTCATACGTACAACACCTGGGACGCGTCGGCGATGGTTGAGCGGGTGGACTGGAGTCCATCTTCATTGGAGAACAGGAGACCTAGACCAGGTCCTGTTGGAATGGTCTGTGAGGCGTTCTCGGGTTGGCCAGGAGGCCAGGAAGTCGGTGCCGTACTACCTCGTGGATTTGTCAACCAACTACAGGAATTCCGTACCTGCGTCCATTCACCGTCGATTCATTCATCCAGCAGACAGCAGGCATATCGTCGAGTACGTTCTTTTATAAGATAGATTTATATTTACTTAATAAGTAAATTATAATTATAGAGTCAGTGAATTTTGATATTGAGTCTTGGGGATGTCGAGTCATTATTTCATTGTTAGTTATTTTCATTAATTAGATCAATTGCAAAGTGTACTCGTTGTTTGTGTCGGGTGAATAAACCAGTTGTTAATTAATATCTTTATCCCTGCAGTTCACCTCTCTCACTCTTAATACATTTCCTTGTGACCAGGAAAGTGATTTTTCCACGACCTGGTCGAGCTAGCTTAGTAAGGAACTCGGCACCAAGAGGCTGAGTTCTCAACATCTTTATTTACTCTTGGTGGCGCTGTTTTGGTGCCAAGTGTTAAGTGGAGTCGTCCCCAGGAGGTCACAGACCTGGGTGAGGGCCTCCCTTATAACTTCGTCTTTACTAGTATTACTGTCCACAATTTGTGAAGCAGTACACGTAGCACTTCCATTTAATTATTTTTCGCAACTATATTATAAACGGAAAAATGTTTTGATTTTATTTTATAATTAAAATCAACTGATTCTATAAATTTCATTGATGGTAAAGATTTACCTTCTTGGGATGAGTCTGTTTTTTTTAAAGAAGTACTTTCCTTGTCACATCTCTTTCTCTCGTCCTCATCTCCACTCTCAACCTCATCTCTTAATAATACCTCCTCATCTTCCTGTAACGGGTAATTTTCACGTCTTTGTCACGTCGGGGTAATAAGTATAGATTCAGCAAAATTAACGACCCCCCTTGCTCGGTTTTTGGCTCGCCGGAGTCCAGGGTAAAAAAAAGGAAGACGTTGGATTTATGCTAAATCCCGAATTAAACAATATTTCACTATTAACTTAGAAAATGAGCAAATAATAATGCAAACAAATCAAATAAGATATAAACAATGGAATTTATTTGAAAAAGCCAATAAAACAGGAACACAAAATACAAAATTGAACAAAGTATTTTATTTATTTATTTATTTATTTAAAGAAAACTGCTTATAAAGCGGTGCTTACAGCAGTGTTGATTTACAACATAGATCATATATAAATATTCGTCTTATAATAATGTAAACTGGTTAACATTTCAAAGTAGGATAATTTACGAGTAGCTTAAGTATACAGAGTAATTAAGATGAGAGTAATAATAATATCACTGTACTCACTGTGGGTTGAAATAAAATTAAATAAGTAAGACTAGATAGGGCGACAAAAATAGTAGAGGGAATTGAGGATAGTGTTATAATAATATGTACGATTAATCCCTGACAAACACACTGGGTAAAAAGTACCCACCCCAAAATTTTATTTTGTTATAATTATTTGTATATATTTAAACTTCGATAGTATTTTTATCTATTTTATGATTCGATCGTATAATGCGCGAGCGCTTTGGTGCTGCTTGCAGAATACGATGACAGGATCTCGATCAGGTCGATAGTTGGGCTTAGAGGTGCAAAGTATTTCAATCGAAGAGCGGCGTATCTCGGGCAGATGGAGAAGAAGTGTGTCGTAGTTTTTGGCGTGTTCATAGTACAAACAAGGCAAGGTGACTGGGCTGAAAGTTTGTAGACTACTCCGTTGATTGTGAGATTGCAAGCATGGACGGTGGCCAGTCTGAGCTATGCTTTGATGTTAAGAGTGCATAATATGGGCAGCGCTTGAGATATTTAGCTGCAGAGTAACTGGGAGCTTGTCGTAAAATAATTTGGCAACTGCTGGAGTTATTGTATCGCTCCAGGTCCGCTTTTTGGAGAAGTTTGGTATAACCAGAAACCAGGTCATTTCTTTTAGACTCCCAGACTGCAGGTGTTAATTTATCGAGGTGTTCATGTTTCAAGACGCAAAGTATGCTTCTGAGCTGAGAGACCCAGTTCCGAGGGCGGTTATTTGCTGCTGTATGCTGTTTTTCCAAGTTCGATAGTTCCAAAAGTCGCAAAAAGCATACTTTTGGCAGTCGGTTGTTGTCCATTTTTAGAATCCTCGTCGTCCAACGAAGGGCAGCGTCAAAGACTTGGGCGGCGAGTGGGGAAACTCCTGTTTCTAACCGTATGGCGTATCCTGGGGTACACCGAGGTAGTTGGAGTAACCTCTTGAAGAAGCCGACTTGCGCTTTTTCGATAGTTTCAAGATGTTCAAGGCCCCAGATTCCAGCTAGGTACAGAAGAGTTGTTCGGACAATTGCACCATAGATTTTTTGCTTCCCGGCCCACGAGTCCGCATGCAGTCTAGTCAGTATGCCGAGGGAGACGCTACATGCTGCATTGGATTTTTTGACGACATCCAAGGCAGCGCGTCGTCCAGTAGCAGTTGTTGTAACCGTTGTTCCTAGATAGACGTATGAGTTGACAACTTCAACTGCAGAATTCTTGTAGTTAAAGGATTTAGGAAGTTTCTTGCGGAACCTACTGGGAGAGTGGCACGAGCTTGGTTTTTTCAGCATTTGCTTCCAGCCCGTTCCTAGAGCAGTACTCCTCAAGGGCTCTTAGTGCTTTAAGTACATCCATTTGTCTTCTGAGCAGGATGACCAGGTCGTCGGCATACAGCAGCATTAAAAGATCGCGTAGTCCATTAAGTTGCAGGCCGGTTAGGCCTTTGTCTCTGAAAAAGGAGACTATATCAGAGATGAATAGAATAAATAGCAAGGGGCTCAGGGTTTCGCCCTGGAGTACCCCAGTTGTAACTTTCACAGGTTTAGAGAAATCTCCGTTTGATCTGACTCGTAGTGTTGTCTTGTTGTAGATGCAGCGTAGGATCTTGACAATTTTCTTACTGAGGCCGATGCTGAGAAGTTTGGGCCAAAGAAGATGATGGGGTATGGAGTCAAAAGCTCTACGGAAGTCAACAAATAGTCCGAAACACGAAGCGCCCTTTTGTCGTAGGTAAATTTAGAGAGCAGTATCCAGTGTAAATACATTGTCTTGGCATCCACGGCCCTTTAAAAAACCAGCTTGCTCTTCCGGTATCAGATTGTTGTCAGCAGCCCAGGACACAAGTCTCTGGTTAACCAGTTGTGTAAAAACTTTTGCTATACAATTCACCAGGGCGATACCTCTGAAATTATTGGGATCATTTACGTCGCCTTTTTTATGTAGCATTGTGAGTACGACTTCAGACCAGCAGACTGGTGTTTCTCCGATTTCTAAGATGCGGTTGAACATAGCTTGGATGTATAGTATCCAGTTCGTAGGAAGATTTTTCAGGAGTTCGTTGGGAATCCCGTCGCAGCCTGGTGATTTCCCGCTCTTGAGTCTCCTGAGGCAGTTCTTTACTTCTTTAAAAGAGAATGGTTGCTCAATTGCAGGGTTTTCGTTTTCAGGAAACATCTTGAGCTCGGAGATGATATAAACTCATATATAATCAGATCTGATCATATATAGACTTATACATGATTATATATTGTAACGGAGTGATCGATACTCGGTAAAGTCCCCTATTAAGGTATCCAGTCATTTATCGACTGCTCACAGTGCGCTGTGATCTAAAGCTCGTTTAGAGCTAGTGAGAAAGGCCCCGAGGTGGAGAAGCCGGCGTAGTGGTAGTGGGGTGAGCGGAGGAAGCAAGGAAGAACGAACGAAATTCGGTAAGACTCATTGTGACTGAGTGGCTCAACTGGACGGCACGCAAATTTTTATAAAACATCCAGCTAAGGTAATTATTTTTATTCTGCTTGTCCAACGTGGAACGAAGCGATAATATTTTGTTAGTTTATTGCTTGCTAGGCCGCCTGCCAGCTTGCGTAAATTAACTTTAATTTGTAATATTTTCTAATGCTGATTTGCGGTTACAGGCGTAATAAATACCCAGAGAGCGAGTGGTGGTGACGAGAGTTTGCCGCCAAATCGAGAATACCTGACCGAGGGAAAATTCACGCCAGTACCCGAAGACGAGGAGTTGCAGCTCACTGTTGGAGTGCAGATTAAAGGTATAAGAATACTCCAGGTATAAATAACGAGTCTTAATTATTCCTCGAATCTGCGGCATCAGCCAGGCAACACGTCGGCTGAAGGTCACCGCCATTTCATGCTCAATCACAATCGTTAGTTTAATAATTTAGTTAGCTTATATTTAAGTATCATTCATAAATAGTTTATTTATTTGGTATCAGTATCAGACTTAATATGAAAATTAGAGAAATTATAAAACAATTAATTAATGATACTAGGACAGGTTTCGGGTTATTAATTAATTTATTTAGGGAAATTAACGTGTCTTTGTCATGACTTATTTTACACGTAGGCATGTCTGGGTTGATAATACTAGGCATTAGTTCGGGTTATTAATTCCAGATTTTACGCTATGTGTAAAATTGTTGTAATTGAGAAGCTTTGGATAATAAATTGGTTTAAGCCAGTAGAAATGAAATTGAGTAAACCGCAAAATTAAAATTATTTAAGACAGGAATTAATTCGACATTAAAACTATTTTAATAAATTATTCGGCGCATTATTTAATATTTGGCGTAAATTAAATAAATCTAGATTCAGGAAATAGCCATTAAATCAGTAGAAGTGTCAATCTAAATTATTTAGTAAAAAGAAATTAGAATATAAAATTGGTAAAAATTTCATCAAAGAAAAAAATACTTAAGTTGTGCGACAAAGACGCTAAACCGAGCGAGAGCGTCAGCCATCTTGTCCGTGCGAGAAACGCTAAGTAGAGGTCATTCAAGGTCGCAATTAAAGTCTCTGTTCGTTTGAAATAAAATAAACTCAAGTAAAATAAAATATCAAATTTTAAGAAAACACAAAATAAATTACAATAGAATAATCTCATGTCTAAATTTAACTTCTGCGTCGAAAAATAAATCGAGTAAAATTACCGCCGAGATTGGATTAAATAAAATAGCTGGGAATAAAATAATTTGGATGAAATTAAATAATGTAAAAGATTTAGGTTTACTCAATTTGCCGGAATTTAATTAAGTTTGCTAAAATAAGAATTAAAATTTGGACTAATAAATTTGGTCTAATAAATTTCTTGGACATAATGAATAGATTTAATCCTGGATAATTTGGAAAAGAGTCATTTAGATAATAGGAATTTGTTATTTGTATTTTGAAATTCGGGAAATGATAACCAGAATTTCAGAAATATTAATTAGGGAAATAATATTATGGAAATTATTTCTGAATTGTAATCCAAGCGTTATTATTGTTATTATTGGAATTTGGAAAATAGTGTGTTTGTGTGAGAGTAAAGAGACTATCCAGCTTCGGGTAGTTCTCTTAGAGTAGCGTGAAGTTTGGGGGACAGCGTGCGCTGTGTGGACAACGTGTGCAGTCACGTCAGAGGTCCAGCTCAGTGACGTAAAAGTCCGTGAGACCACGCGAACTAAGTTAGAGTAGCGTTAGAGGTCCAGGGGACGGCGCGAAGTAAATAGAGTACCGTGAGAGTCCAGTAGGCATCGGGGACTGCAACCACGTGAGGGTCTAGCTGGACAGCGAGAAATATACCGAATGAGTGTGAGTGTGAGTGTGGATTTGTATCCATGAATTTTTATATATTGTAATACTGGCCATATTTCAATTGTAAGAGGGATTGGATAAATAAATAATTTTTATTAAATGAATCTCTGTGTCTCAATCCTAGTTTCCTTTCAGCAAATCTCTCACGACCCTGACCTAGCACTCCATGTTCTGGTCCAGTTCTGGATACTGAGAACAAAAATCCAGTGGCGCCCTCAAGAGAAAAGGGGCGACCAAGGGAAACATAACATCCCGTTTCAATATGGAGTTATAACAGCCAGATATGATCATATCTAATTATATATAGACTCATATATAATCAGATCTGATCATATATAGACTTATACATGATTATATATGGAGTTATAACAGCCAGATATGATCATATCTAATTATATATAGACTCATATATATTCAGATCTGATCATATATAGACTTATACATGATTATGTATGGAGTTATAACAGCCAGGTATGATCACATCTAATTATATATAGACTTATGTATGATCTTATGTATAATCATGTATAATTATATATAATTTCATATATGATTATGTATAATTATATATGATTATATATATGCTCATATATAATCATATATAATTAGACAAAAACTTTTTTCATCGGGATACTAAATCGGCTTGGAACTTATAATAATCTCCCATTCTTTTAATTCTTTTACATTTATATTCTATTGCTCGCTAAATTCGCTCGGCTTTAAAATAATTTCTCACACTCTTCAAATTTTCTAACTTAATCAAAACTTTGGTAACAACAAAATATATTATTTGTTGGAGATAGTAATACTCACACGTATACTACTCACACTACGACGGTTGACGCGCATGCTAGTTGCGCCGATACATACACACGCGTGCATGCATATCGGCCTATACGTTTTCTCTAACCATTCGTATCTAGTCGTCAAGTCTATACACCTCGTGTAATATACATAGATATAATTTCTACATTGAATAAACGTTGCATATAATTTAAACAACTCTTCTATTAATTATATTATTGAACCCTGCCTAACTCCCACAGGTTATGGGCCCAGTATACGAATAGATAAGAGTTTAGTGATATAAAATAAAAAGAAAGATTTAAGTGAGTGAAAGCCGAAAACGAAAAATAATTTTCGACAGCGTGGCAAACCTAACCTCAAAAATGAACGCCGAGAGATCATCGAGGATCGAGTTGCTCAATAGCTCGAACTACGAGGTATGGCGAATTCGTATGAAGGCCGTGCTATTAGGACACGACAAGTGGGGCTACGTCAGTGGTAATATCCCGGCACCAGATGCTGGATCTGGTGATCGTGCGGCGACGTCCGCGCTGAACAAGTGGAAGGAGAACGACGAAAAAGCTTTGGCTGAAATTATCCTGTCGGTGGGCGAAGCTGAACTGAGAAGCATCTCGAATTGCACCACGTCGAAGGAAGCCTGGGAGAAGCTACAGTCGATTTATGCCTCAAAAGGTCCAGTGCGGAAGATTGAATTACTCACGGATATTACGTCATTCAAGATAGACGAGGACGACGATTTCAGAGGACGCCTAGACAAATTTTCAAGTGCCGTAGAGCAATTGGCGGGGATGAAGATTGATATTCCCACGACATGCTAGTCGTGTTAATACTCAACGGTCTGCTGCCGAGCTACGAGAACTTCAGGTGTGCCATGAGGTCCAAGGACGATCTGCCGAACACAGAGGTGCTCATCGGAAAAATTATGGACGAAAATAAAAGTCGCGCCGTCAATACGGCGGTCGATAACAATGCTCTCTACGCTGGAAACCGGCAGAGCAGTAATCAACGTCGTAATAACCCGAAGCAGAAAAAGAGCTACCCATGTTATATATGTGGTAGCCTTGAACATTGGGCATCAAAATGCCCGCAACGTCCAAAAGGCACAGTGAAAAATGTCAGCGCAAATTTTGAAAATTTATACGTAGAAGTGGCATCGACAGAAGAGGTTAACAACGTGACATCCACATCGAGATGGTGCTTGGACAGCGGCTGCACGACGCACATGTGTGCGAACGAGGAGATGATGGAAGATCTTCAGAAGTGTACAGCAACGCTGAACATGGCCAACACCGCATTGACGACAGCGAAGGCAAAAGGGACAGCGTACCTGACAGCAGCAACAATAAATGGTAATGTAAAAGTTAAAATTAATAATGCATTATTAGTAAAAGATCTCAGGACTAATTTACTTTCCGTGTCGAAAATCACACAAAACGACCGAGAGGTCCTATTTAGAAAAGATGGAGCTGTCATCAGAGACCTAGAAGGCAACGTCAAGATGATAGCAGACCGGATTGGAGATTTGTACTACCTGAGGGAAGTTGGAAAGCAGGTCAACGCAGCGACAGAGGAGTCGCACACGTCGGTAGCAAGCCTGTGGCATGCTAGACTAGGTCATTTGCACATGGACGCCGTAGTGGATTTGTTGAATGGTCGCGCAACGGGTTTAAAGCCGGTAAAAGGAGTTGGACAGCCGTGCGAGGTCTGTCAACGAGGCAAGTTGACGACAAAACCTTTCAAACCAAGGACAGAAAAGAGCAAAAAGCTGCTCGAAATTGTACACACTGATTTGTGTCAGCCGTCGAGAACGAGGTCAGAAGGAGGCAACCGATACTTCATAACCTTTATCGACGATTATAGTGGCTGGTGTGTAATACACTTCCTGAAGAGCAAGGACGCCGTTTTTGAAGCTTTTAAAACGTATAAAAGCTTTGCAGAAAAACAAACAGGCATGAAAATTAAAGCCTTGCAGTCAGTTAACGGCAGAGAATATTGCAATAAGCAATTCGATGAGTTTTTGCAACGTGAAGGCATACAGAGGTGTTTAACCGCTAGAAAAGAGATCTAGTCAAATACTTATAAGAAGAATTACGCCTTCGGGATTAATCGTTAAAACTCGGGAATAATCGTATCACGCTATGGCCGTCGCTCATGCGCGCCTTGGTTAGCGGTAGAGAAGCCGGCTCGCGTGGTCTGATGCAACAGTTGTGCTTGGACTTTGTACTAGTACGACTACTCTGTGCTAATCAATTCTGACAATTCTTACTTGCATCTCACATTCATTCAAATATTTAAATCATTCATTAAATATAAATAATTATAGTAGATTCAATTATACTTTAAATTCTCAATTCATTTAAATCAGTTTAATAGTTCAGTGAATTAACATAAATAAAATCAAGTAAATTTATTTAGTGACGCCACGCGGCCATTACGCGCCACCGTGACAAAGGATTGCATCAGCCACGCAGCTTTAGTCAATCCATAATTGACGCCTGATATTAACCATTAATTACATTGAATTAATTATGAACATTTAATTACGATCTTATTTAATTTAACTTATAAATAATTAAATTCCAACTTCAAACCATTTGACTAATTTCTACACGAAAAACATCAAACTCAATTGACTAACATTCTGTTATCAATCGAATATTATTAGCTCTCACCTAGAGACAAGTGAACATTAATAGCTCTCACTCTGAGACAGTTCAAATTAATTAGATATTACCAGCTCCCACCTTGGGACTTATCTAATTCAAATTATCGATAATTTTCTATCTAAGGCGGCTGAGCTCACCCCTATTGCGTTATTGCAACGTAATTTATACACACACACACACATACAGCTTACTTGTATAATTTTCATCAAGGAGGTTTTTTCCCAGCCTAGCTGGATTTTCCTCCTTTGGGGACAAATAAATTCTTCTAAATTATTCCCCAAAAA